TACACACACACACACACACACTCACACGCACTACATTCGCGCTAACCAACCTCATCTATACCCCCCCACACACACAAAATAAAAACAACGACAACAACAACAACAAAAATACAAAAACAAAACTGACAATTCTTCCTTTCTCCTCCCCTTCTCCCCCAGGACTCCTGGTCAATCGAGCTTCAGGGTGTATTCCAGTCTGTGCGGAACCTCCGGCCGGCCAACATCACCCGCTGCATGGCCTGTGTTCGGACCAGCATGGAGAAGGCTATGCTTAAAGACTCGCTCTCCATGGAAGTCAGTAGGGTATGACCTGGGACGTGACTAGCTATACTCACAAGGACTAGACTGTGCTGAGCTGGAGAAACGTGAATTGAAACGAACTGAACTGAGTTGAGAAAGACTGAAGCCAGTTGAACTGAGATGACAAGGACTGGACTGACGTAGGCTCAACTAAGCTGAGATGATTTGAACTGAAATGAAATTAAATGAAGTAAACTGACCTAATCTGTGCAGTGCTAAATTGAGATTAACTGAAATGTACTGAAATGAATTGAGAAGAGCTAAAGTATGACGAACTGAACATGTCTGAACTGAACTGAACCGAACCGAACCCAATGCATGGCCTATGTGGAGATCAGCACGGAGCAGGCTCTGCTTCAAGATTTGCTGGCCCGGGAGGTCATCTAGGCGTGACCAGGAACAGATGAGACAGAACTGAACTGTAGTGAGGTGAGCTGGATAAAACTGGACTGAATAAAAATAGAGAACTGAACTGATTTGAACCGATTTGAACTGAGTCGAGATGAACCAAACTGATCTGAACTGAACTGAGGTGATTTAAACTGAGTTTAGGTGAACTGAATTGAACTGACCTGTACTAGGTTGAGATGAAATGATCTGAGATGGATTAATACGAGTTGAGCTGAAGTGAACTGAGCATGAGATTAATTTAATTGAAGTGAACTGACTTCAGATGAAATGAAGAGAGAGGAGATCGATTGTACTATGCTGAGTTGAGCTGTACTGAAATGAGGTGAATGATAAACGGACATGGAAAGAACTGATTTCAAAGAACTGAACTGAGCTGGACTGAATTGAAGTTAGACGATCTGATCAACCTAAGACGTGAAGGTTCTCCTGTCTTCGATTTATAGTGTCACTTTCTAAAATATCTAGCTAGAGATACACGCTCAAGTTTCGTGTTTTCAACCGGGGTTGAAATCTTAATCTACAAGTTTGTTGCCCAGATAGTTTTATAAAGCTCTCAATCACGTCTGATTGGGGACAAAACACTTTTAAAAGGGTCCACCGCTTAAACGACCTAACATGTTATATTGTATCGTATAAGTGAGGGTGTACTAATAAGTTTGAGCATAAATTTTTATCCTTTCATTAATTAACAGTTCAAGCAGAACGCTTCAATAACACTAAAGGATGTAGCAGACACATCGATACTTTATAATTACAAAGTTCTATCGGACTTTTTGGGCTGTTTTGAGTTACAAAGACCACGAGGTCAGAAACCAAATGTTTCATCTGCTTTATCAAAATCGTAAGGTGATTCGGAGTGGTTTTCAAGATATTCAATGAACTGCATTCGACAAAGCTTGACATGTTTTTGAAAAAGCACAATTTTTAATTCCAGATTTCTTAAAACTACTTAAAGAGCAGATAGATCTTTGTAATTCTGAGGTAACGCCATGTGTCCTATCAGCAGCAAACAAAAGGCAATATTTTTGCACTTTTCGAACCACCACACACAAACAAGTAATACGACATTTGATACTTTCATAAAATGTATCTTGTTTCCTACCTTTTTAAGTTTAGCTGAAGAAAACAAGTAAAAAAATGTATGAATAATGAAGTTAGGTTTCTATTTTCAAGTGCCCTAAAACAGCGGGTCTTCAATGCGTGTCCCCAAGGAGTTAAAGAAGTCACTGTAGTATACATTCCCACAGCAGCCCGCTAGCCGGCATAACGCTTCCTCTGAAGTACTCAATTCTATTCTATCGACATTTTTGGCTCTTTTGAGTTACTAAAACCGTGAGGTCAGAAACTAAATGTCCTATCTACTTTGTCAAAGTCGTAAGATTATTCGGAGTTGACATCAAAATATTCAAATAACTGCTTTTACTAAAGCTTGACATGGAGTGAAACTCAAATCTTTGACGTCAAATTTATCAAGACTAGGCGCTTAGCAGACAGAACATTGTAATTTTAAGGTTTCGATATTTCAAGTTACCATACGAAGATAGATGGAGAGAAATCCGAAGATCGTGGCTTCTCGCTGTGCGCGTGAATTGACTGCCTACATATTCGCCAGCCCCGAGAAAATGGTCACTACATTTAGTGTACACATGCTCCCAAGCATAGGGCCAAACCTTTCTATTAAGACACATCTGAATAGACAAACACATTCGACAAGACAGATCGTTTTTGTGCGTGCTGATTCCGTCCAGACATTGACATGTATTAATGATAACTATAATAAAGATAATATGTAATTAGATATCGAAATCATTCCGTGCAATGTACATGAAATACAAACCACTATAAATGGGGTGAAATTAAAATATTGTGTAAACCATTTTTTGGGTGTAAATTATGCCTGTATGCGTATGTGTATGTGTGTGTTTGTTTATTTGTAAGTATGCGTGTTTATGTGTGTATGTGTGTGTGTGTGTGTGTGTGTGTGTATGTG